GATGAATACACGCACCAAATTTTAGATAATTCCGATTTATAAAAAAAATAAAAAATAAATTACTACCAGATAATCATGAACGTACGATGAACTTTGGACTGTGATGGTGATAGACGAAATCACTTATTATTTTAACCCCTAACCATTACGTAGTGTTTTTTATATATATATATATATATATATATATAGAAAATATGAAATTAGCTATCTCGCATATGTGGTAGAGAGAGGGAAAATATGGGTTTAGCCGTCTCCCCTATGCGGTTGAGATGCGCCCAACGGCGCTGATTTAAAAGTACAAAATAGATGGCCACGATTGGATCCTGCGGCGAATGTTGAAAAAATATTTTAAAATGGGGACGACAAAGGGTACTGACATCAGGCAGAGAAAACAGTGCACTGTGTTTTCTCTCTCTTCGCCTAAGCATTGAGGAAACGCCCTTGATGCTCTGTGTTTTCTCCGAGTTTTCTCACCTAAGCATTGAGAAAACGCCCTTGAAGCTCTGGGTTTTCTCCGAGTTTTCTGGCCTAAGCATAGAGGAAACGCCCTTGAAGCTCTGTGTTTTCTCCGAGTTTTCTCATCTGAAGCTCTTCATTTCGGAAACCTCTTCATTTCGGAAACATCTGAAGCTCTTCATTTCTCTGTCTTCGCCGAAACATTGAGGAAACGCCCTTGAAGCTCTGCGTTTTCTCTGATTTTTCCCTCTCTTCGCTGGAACATTGAAGAAATTCCCTTGAAGCTTTGTGTTTTCTCTGCGCTTTCTCATTTGAAAGTCTTCATTTCCTCTCTCCTTTGCCCAAACAAAAACGAAAATGGTGCTATCTCTTCCCTCTGAAGCTTCAGCTCAACAAGGTATGCTCACGCTCTCTCTCTCTCTTGGGTTTTTCTTTTTTCTTTTCCATCTCTCCCTCTGGTTTTCACTCTCATACACCAAAACCCCCAAATCCAATTTGGACAGCAGAACCCCCAAATCCGCAAAGAACAGAAAAACCTCCAATCCCCAAATCGTGTAGGTTTTTTCCCAAATTGCTGCCCAAATTTGTTTTTTGCCCAAATTCATCTTTGGTTTTTGCCCAAATTTCTGCCCAGATTTTTTATAGCATTTTGCCCAAATTTTGTTTTTGTTTTTTGCCCAGATTTTCTGTAATACTGAGTAAAACCCTGTGTATATATGATAGCCCAAATTTCGTCTTCATCTTCGTTTCTTGCCCAAATTTCGTTTACGTTTTGTACCCAGATTTTCTGTAATTCTGAGCAAAACCCTATGTATATATGGAAGCATTTTTTATACTCATATTTAAGGGCCTACATGGTTCTTAATTATTTGGCTTGCTGAAATTCCAAGGGTTGCTTATACCTATGTATTATGTTTTGAGCTTGAAATGAGTGGAGTCAATGTTTCTTGCCCAGATTTTTTTATAGCAATTTGATTTCGTTTTGTTGGCAAATATATATTTTTTAACCCTGTATATATATGGTAGCATTATATATGGTAGCATTTTGATTATATGGCCTGCTGAAATTCCAAGGTTAATGATGGCTATGTATTATGTTTGGAGCTTGAAATGAATGGAGTGAATGTTTTTTGCCCAGGTTTTTTTATAGCAATGTAATTCGTTTTTAAAGCAAACATACAGTTTTTAACCCTCTCAATGTTACTTGTATTTTTTACGATTTTTGCAAGTAACCTTGACAGGGTTAAAAATCATATATTTGCCAAAAAAACAAAATCAAATTGTTATAAAAAAATCGGGGTAAAAAACATTGACTCCACTCATTTCAAGCTCCAAACATAATACATAGGCATCAGTTAAGCTGGCTAAATAGTCAAAATTCTACCATTCTAGGGTTAAAAACCATATATTTACCAAAAAACTGAAATCAAATTACTATAAAAAAATCTGGATAAAAAACATTGACTCTACTCTTTTCAAGCCCCAAACATAATACATGGGCATAGAAAACCTGTGAGAGGAACTGCTCCGATCAATTCGTGAGCAATGGACGGTTGTTGAGGAGCTGCCGTTTTCAAAATTTGACGACCCATTTGTCAGAGCATCCTGACAACGCCAGAGAGGAGGCTCTCTCACTCTACTGCTAAACCCTCTCTCCCCCTTTCTCTCTCTACTGCGACCATCAACAACCCAACTAGCTACAAAACGCCTCACTCTCTACTGCAAAACCCTCTCTCTCCCCTCTCTCTCTATTACGAGCATCAACAACCCAACAAGCACTGCGAAAATTATCTCTCTTCTCACCCTCTCTCCTTCGCGCGCTGTCATCTTAGTGGAACTCCTTTGTTGAAACCCCTCTCTCTCATCTCAGTAAAGCTCCTCTGTCGAAACCCCTCTCTCAACTGAGTAAAACTCCTTCATGCTGAAGAGGCTCTCTCTCTCTACTGCAAAACCTATTTCTCTCTCTCTCTAGAGCTCAACGAGACAAGGCTCTCTATCTCTCATTTGGGCAACAAGATAACGAAAATAGAGCACCTCTCTCTCTCTCCATAGAGCACAACGATGGTATGGATTAATGCCAAATTGGTTTCATTTTATGACTTCATAGATTAGGGCTTTTCTTCATTGTTTCTAGGGCTTTCAATTAGGGTTTTTTTTTTTGACTTCACATAATAGCTTTATATCAGTGGGCACTTAGAAACATAAACAATGATCGGCTAGAAACATTGTGGATACTTTCGTAACACTAGAATATGGAATTGATGGTGCTCTGCCCCATCCCTATCCCATCCCCTTCCCGTACCCCCTCCCTCCAAATTTCTATGTATGTGCTTGTGTGGATAACATGTGGGATTTTTTTTCTACAATTTTGTATACGTCCTATTGCCAGCACAATGACCATTTGCTTATTAGTTTATTAAAGTATTCAAAATTTGTTAATGAATAATAGGGTTTGGCAAGTAGAAGCTGGAATTAGGATTGGAAATCTCATTTTGAAATCTGAAATGAAAAAGTTTTGAGTACTAGGTAATTGAAAATACTTTGTTTGGTTAATCTATTTGGAATTCTAGGGATTTTGGAAACTATGTTTAGTATAAGCTATAATTTTACCAACTTTGAGGTATGTAAATTGGCTGATATTACTATTCAGTGAAGTTTGTTAATGAGATTGATATTTGTTAAGAGCATGTATCTCAGTCAGAAGACCTTCTTGGGAGGACTTCTTTCAATCTAAAATTTTAGGAACCACACTACTAGATGATTATTAAAAAATAAAATAATTGAAATTTGAGTATTCTAACGCTTCTCATCTTCTAAAAATTGGATAGTCTCTATTCAATCTTGATACATTATTTTTTTATGTGCATGGAGTATACAATTAGGGATTTTTATTGTTGAGCTTAATCGACGGGTTGAAGATGTTAAATCCTCAAAATTTTTGGAGCCCTAAAATTAATTTTAGGTGAGGTTTTTCCCCGATGGAGTAAATACACATTACCCGATGGAATAGAATGTGCTGAAGGAAATATATTTTGGCATGTGTTAAAGGAAAAAGTCTTTTGTAAAGAAGCAGCCCTAAACAATCAAATTAAGGGGCACTTCCAAAATCCACCTTGTTTCGATGCTCAAAAAATCCTCAAATTGATCATATCGACCTCAAGATGCTCTGTTAAGTGATTGATTTTTTTTCATTAGGCTTGTTTCCTTTCAATCATGAAGCTTTTTGATTTTTTAATGGTTCAATTAGGGTGGAATTGATGTTGCTTTGTGAAGTCATAATTTGGAGATTTTTTTTTTTTTAAAATTGTCGAATGGCATCCATTGATGTTGCTCTGTTAAGTGATTGATTTTTTTTCATTAGGTTTGTTTCCTTTCAATCAGGAAGCCTTTTGGTTTGTTAATGGTTCAAACAGGGTTGAATTGATGTTTCTCTGTGAAGTCATAATTTGGAGATTTTGTTTTTTTTTAAATTGTCGAATGGCATCCATTGAAGTTGCTCTGTTGAGTGATTGATTTTTTTTCATTAGGTTTGTCTACTTTCAATCATCAAGCATTTGAATTTTTTAATGGTTCAAACAGGGTGGAATTGATGTTGCTCTGTGAAGTCATAATTTAGAGACTTTTTTTTAAAATAAATTGTCGAATGGCGCCCATTGATATTGCTCTATTAAGTGATTGATTTTTTTTCATTAGGTTTGTTTACTTTCAATCATCAAGTATTTTGGTTTGTTAATAGTTCAAACATGGTGGAATTGATGTTGCACTGTGAAGTCATAATTTGGAGATTTTTTTTTTAAATTGTCGAATGGCATTCATTGATGTTGCTCTGTTAAGTGATTGATTTTTTCTATTAGGTTTGTTTCCTTTCAAATCAAGCATTTTGGTTTTGTTAATGGTTCAAACAGGGTGAAATTGATGTTGCTTTGTGAAGTCATAATTTGGAGAATTTTTTTTTTTTTTTTTATAAATACTCGAATGGCATCCTTTGATGTTGCTCTGTTAAGTGATTGCTTTATATTCATTAGGTATATTTCCTTTCAATCATCGAGCATTTTGGTTTGTCAATGGTTCAAACATGGTGGAATTGATGTTGTTATGTGAAGTCATAATTTGGAAAAAAAAAAAAAAATTTAATACTTGAATGACATCCATTAATGTTGCGCTGTTAAGTGATTGCTTTATGTTCATTAAGTTTGTTTCCTTTCAATCATCAGGAATATTGGTTTGCCAATGGTTCAAACAGAGTAGAATTGATGTTGCTCTGTGGAGTGTTATGGGTCTCATCATAGAGGTGGTGATGGTTGTTGTTGCTGTTGTGGTTATTGTCAAAATTATTATTGACATATTTGCAATGAATGTTATGATGTGCTTGAAATACGTACTTATTTAGTCCTTCATAGTGTGCTACTGATGCAATTGTTGTAGGCTTTAACAATGTCATCTGATTTTACAAGTAATCGATGATATACAACTTGATGATGCCCAAAGTGTAGTATAGATTGTGTTAAGAAACCATTAACAAGCCAAAATAACTTGAACATGATGTACTATAAATGTCCCATATGTGGTCTTCCAATGGTGTGATGAATATAATACCGCCATGGAAAATGTCAATTTAAGACATTGCAATACACGACAGTGGAATCCAATGCAAGAATCAGAAAAACGTGTCATGCTCAATCAAGAAACAAGTGTTGGCAATGATACAATACTCGTTGCCATAGGGCGCATGCATCAATTCTTACTCGGTGCCTTTGGGCGTTTGCAACAATTTTTGTATTTCTTGTGTATAATAAATGTGTGCTTGCTTGCCCTCATTTTTTTTTATTTTTATAGTCTTGATGTGTTACTTTCTGACTTGGAGTTGTTTTTTTACTAAGGGTTACCTTTTTACTAATGTAATTATTCGCATCATGCAATTCAACTTATGCTCCATGGAAAATGTTGTGGTTGAAAGTAACAAAATGGTTCTTTTGGTAATGTAAACATATATTATTTGCCATGCAATTCCAATTCAAGGATATTATCTCAAGGACATTATGCATTGATTTTTTTATTGTGCGTTGATAGCGAGCGAGATTTCAAGCATCTATAATTTATTTAAATGGGTGGGTTGATCATTTGAACTATGGCCAGTGCGATTGTGCCATTTATTGAGGGCTATAAAAAAAATGTGCTATAAAAGCTGAAATTCAGCCATGTGAAAGCATGCCATTCTTTCTTACAGTTGTATGTGAACCCTTGTGTTTTCAGTCATCGCTCTTCACAGTATGTTGCAAATTTTCTATGTAGTCTTATATACTTCAGCCTTCATTGAGACGCTTCTATTCTTATGGTAAAACAAAGACTTCTATTTCATTTTAGTGGTCAGGTATCACAGAAAATTTATGTATATATATGTAATTTGTTTTTGGTGTTGGTTTGTAGTGATGTTCCAATGGCTCAATTTATTGTGAGTCTAAATGATGTATATATATGTAATTTGTTTTTGGTGTTGGTTTGTAGTGATGTTCCAATGGCTGAATTTATTGTGAGTCTAAATGCATCATTACTAGCTTCTCAAAAATTTATCATTCACATGTTGGACAACACACTTGTTTGTGCAAGCTCATGCTGGTGAAATGAAATAGAGGGAGTGACATATGGACAATAGATTTTAAAATAGATATTGTCATGTGGCCGCTTAGTTTGACTTAGAGCTGGTCCAGAGTATTAATTTGAGAATTGAAACAACTCGAGAGATGTATATCCCTTTAAATACATTTGTGCAAAATTACCATAATAAACCTATGAGTAATATGCTAGGTACTCACATGTTAAAAGAATACCCCTGGTAAAAGAATGCCTCTGTGAATAACCTGCTAGGTACTCACATGTTAAAATAATGCCTCTGTGAAAAACCTATCGTAAACTCCAAACCCAATTGCTCACTGCTGCAATATTTTTGGTTTTTCAAGCAATAGATCATACAAAACCTGTCATAAATTTCAAACCCAATCAGGCACTATCCCAACATAACGGGACAACTCCAAGACAACAAATCAATACAAACAATGAACACACTCCAAACCAATTTCGCACTGCCAATTAAAACAAACAAATTTCACACTGCCAAAGTTAAAAGACATCCATAAAAAGTAAAAGATACATGGTCTCATAAGAGAAAAACATGTCAAATGGGTCAAATGGGTCCAAAAGGAACACCTTCCAAAAAGCATAGTATTAAGTTTACAAATAATTAAAATATTCACCTCACTACATTCTAACTTATTCAACCACCACCACCATCTATTGTGGATGGACATACAAGTAATACCCATGAAACAAGGTAAATTCATCGGAGGTAGTGCATGCATTGTTTTATGACTTGGGAACATGAAGTGAGTAAAGTCCTCCATCAATCGGTGTCTACAACTGTAGGGCCATCAGTAAGTTATACAAGCACAGATAGAAGTACCACAATGCTTAAATAAGGTAAATTTATGAATAAACTACACGATAAGAAATATTATTTACCTGCCAACTTTTGACATAAAAGAACAACACCCGTTGCATCCATATAAACATAAGAAATATCTTTTACCTACATTGTCAACAACCACCCAAGCATTAGAATTTCAATGCAAACAAATTTCTTACAATGCAAATTCAATGCAAAAACTACTATCTTACTGAATATAATGCAAATCTCTAAAAATTCTTACCATTACTCAGCATGTTCCACATTCTCACATGGCCTATATCCGTGCATCTTATATTTTCATTTAACCTAAACGAAGAAAACCCATTTCAAATATTTATATTTAAAGAATTCATATTAACATCACATAGAGTGCGAGAAATGGAGCAATAGTTCATTCATACTTTGAACGTGCGAGAGATGGACAATTCATTTTGTCATGTCCACTCCCTTTGCAAACTGCACACTTTTAGGTAACTTCTTTTACTCTCGTTCTCGCTTTCTCTGCCTCTATCTCAGCCCGAGATACATATCTATCATTGGTAGGTCTCCCCTTTGTTCGTGCCCGAGGGGGCTCAAGGATGTTATAGCGTGCATGTCCCTCAACCTCAGCTCCGTTGCTACTGCCGGCAATCATATTCTCATTATGACTGCTGCAAGGGGTCTTAAAAACACCATTTGGTAATACCACACCCCCAATCTTGGCCTTAACCTTTGAAAGTATACTTGATATTTCAGGTATTATAAATGCATGGAGTTCTACACTTTCTGAAGCATGCTATGCTAGTTCTCTAGTGGCTTAACAAACTTCATTAAAACGAATTGAACGGGGTAGATCAGAGATACCTTGAATTTGTTTCCCATTGGCATCAAGTACTACACTTTTCATCACATCTTTTGTCCACCTCTTCATTATGTAATGTGATGGAATTTTAAAAATATTATTCACCATCAAGACCCTAATCTCATGCCTACAAATAATGTCCAGCCTCTCATACATGTGGCAAGTACAAACAAAAGTTTGGTTGTGATGATTGAACTCTACATTGCAGGCCCTTGTTTCACTTCACATTTTGATACCTCAACTGTGCCATTGTCTTCCATAATTTCACTCATGTAATTCACGCCTTCTGCAACTTCTTCTCCAAACAACTTCATAATTTTGTGTGTATATATCTTCAAAGCGTGAGCCTCGATGTCACACGTGGTCATCAGAAAAGGCTTAGATGTCATGTTCTTTAAGTCATTTTCTCTCATCTTAAGAAGTTTTTTATCATGTACTTTTAAAGTAGTTTTCATCAATGTGCGCAAGCTTGTATTGGAAGTCATGTACATTTTGAAGTGCTTATTCATTTCTTTGCTTCTCTAAGTCGATGACATACTTGTTGTGAATGCATCTGTCATGTATGCATCAATCCATTGCTTTCGACATCTGTACAATCTATTGAGCCATTCATTCTGTTGAAGATCATATTTCTCAATAAGAGATTTCCATTCTGACTTAAAGTCTTCCTCAGTTTGGCTCATTATACAGTTTTTGAATGTTTTTGGGAAAGATGGACTCCTTCGCAAGACATGGTACAATATTTCTTTGACCTTTAAAAGTATGTGCCACTTACAATAATGATGTCTGCTTTTATTCATAACTTGTTTTACTACAATGGTCATTGCAGGTTCTTGATCGGTGATAATTACTCCGGGTTGACGTCCACTCCTTGCCTGTAGCCAATTTTCAAATACCCATACAAAAGACTCAACTTTCTCATCAAATATAAAAGCAAACTTAAAAAATATTGTGATAAGGTGGTGATTCACTCCAAGTATGGGAGCACAGGGCATGTCAAAAGCATTTGTCTTATGTGTGGTATCAAAGGTGACCACATTCAAGAAGTGATGGTAGAACACCCTTGACATGGCATCTAACCATAATAGGCTGACAATGTGATCTTTTTTATCTAATTTCACTTTATAGAAAAAAGATGGATTGAATCTCTTTATATCGATTAACCATTTCATCGCATGATTGCCATCTTCCCCTTTGAATTTTCTACTCTCGATTCCTAATTGGTTTTGTGAGCAATGGAGATTATCAATCCCTCCAACCTATTCTAAAAAGATATCATAGATATTTCGAGATTTTACCAAAGCAGAGCTCATGGAGTTTATCATTGTCTTTGTCATATCCGATATTGTTTGGTGTGATCGGCTGAGTCGACTTTTATATGGATATACAACTAAATGATTGTGATCCTTAACAAACTTTGTGACAACCCACTCATTGTTAGCATTTATGCTTATGCACATCTTTGTATCACATCCACACCTTGTCTCAAGGAAAATTTTTCTAGGTTGCACTTGTTTCACCCTATGGAATCTTTCCTTAGAACATTTATATTTCCTATCAATTCTCTTTCCGTCCTTATTTGTGTGAGTACTTTCCTTTCTGACACCAAACTCTTCCACCAATGCAAAAGCCTTTTAAAATTTATATGCATCATTTCGTCACTGAATTTTATTTCTACACGGGGTTCTTCTATTTCAGACCCCTTAGAAGACAACACATGTTTCCCGTTTTCAGGATTTGTGAACTTATTGGGAGGCGGGGTTGCAAGCAAGGGAGCTTGCTCTATGGACTCTACATTATCCCCCATATTGTCATTCTCTGACTATGTGGGAGATGCCACGCTTTTTGAAATGGTGAGATCCTCTCAGGTGCTAAAATTACTCTACACAAATCACGAAATCTTTGTCAATTGAAGACTTCAACACTTCACATATTTTTTAAAAAATCATTTTACAATTTCCATTTCTATTCTCTTGCAACATCAATTGCA